GCTCTCCCCCGTCACCGACTTCAGGGAAGCCTGCTGCCGCCAGTATGAGATGGGGTGAGACACTGAAGAATGCCCGCAGATTCAGATAAAAACCGCACACAAACAAACAACAATAATATTATCTGCCCTGCTCCTTTTAAATATATTCTCTGTGTGATTTATCATTTTAAATGCAAAGATAAATGTTATTTGCAGTGCGAGGATGCGAGCAGTCCTCTCCTTGTTTAGGAGTCAGTGTTTTTCCATTGGAGCGGGGGTTGTTTGCTCCGCCAGCGATAGCACGGACGTGTGTGTGTGTGGGGGGGGTGATAAAGATCAGATTCTCCTCTGGTGGGCTCGCATGTTGCTCAGATTGTGTAACAAACTTTTCCTTCATGGCCCGGCTCCATTAAATACCAGTGGGGTGAGCTTTAACCCTTCCTGTGCTGGGTTTCCTGCAGGGAGTGTACCAGAGGAGGCTTCTGCAACTTCATGCACCTGAAACCCATATCGCGGGAACTTCGACGGGAGTTGTACGGCCGCCGCAGGAAAGGGTAAAGACATTTTTACATTCATACTTGGGGGTCAGAAAAGGATTTGTGGATTAATTTGTCTTTCCTGCCACCAGGCCTGACCCTGGCTCGCGCCCCAGGGAACGTCGCTCCCGATCCAAGGACCGGCGGCGGGACCGCGAGAGGCCGAGAAGGTCGAGGGACCGAGAGCGCTCCGGACGATTCTGNACCCTCCATCAGGAGGGTAAGACACAAAAAGAAATTTCTCAAAGAGCAAGTTCCAACAGACTTTTTGTGGATGTGCTTTGAAACTGCACTCTGTGAACAGCTTGCTCTTTGAGAAATTTCTTTTTGTGTCTTACCCTCCTGATGGAGGGTGTCAATGACGGTCCTCTGGACAGCAGTCAGATCAGCAGTCTTCCCCATACTTGTGATTTAGTTTACTGAACCAAGCTGAGTGTTTTTCAAGGCTCAGGAAACCCTTGCAGGTGTTTCGAGTTAATTAGACGATTCAAGTGATTCGTTGAACACCCTACTAGTATACTTTTTCATGATATTCTAATATTTAGAGATAGGATATTTGAGTTTTCTTAAGCTGTATGCCATAATCAGCAATATTAAAATAATAAAAGGCTTGCAATATTTCAGTTGATTTGTAATGAATCCAGAATGTATGACATTTTTGTTTTTTTAATTGCATTACAGAAAATAAAGAACTTTATCACAATATTCTAATTTTCTGAGACAGTCCTGTATTTAAAAGGAGCAGGGCAGATAATATTATTGTTGTGTGTTTGTTTGTTTGTGTGCGGTTTTTATCTGAATCTGCGGGCATTCTTCAGTGTCTCACCCCATCTCATACTGGCGGCAGCAGGCTTCCCTGAAGTCGGTGACGGGGGAGAGCTCTGAGTGGACGGCCTGGGCGTTGAACCAACGATTGTTCAGGTCCATGACGGCTTTCTCTGCGTCCTCCTCTCGGCGAAACTACACACAGGGAGTACAAATACTTAGGATATCTGAGGGAACATGAGAAGTTGCTGCAGCGAATGTGAAACAAATGAACACAATGAAACTGTATTTACATAAAAAGCTAGTTTAATCTAACATGGCCTTCAGTGTTTCTCCTCCTTCCTGCCATTGCACTTCTTTTATCATCTGGTACGCATATTTGATGAAAATGAACTATAGGAAAAGGTTTTCTGCCTCAAGAAGGTTTCACGTTGGAGATGTTACTTCTCTACAGACTTTAGAAGGGATTGGGCTCATGTTTCCTGCTGGATGAAAGTAAGAAATCCATAAAGGTGGGAGAGCTTCAGTCTGCCATCAGATCAAATCATTTGAAATAAAGTTGTGTAACATATTCTGTTCTGCAAGGTGTCACTAAATTCAGCCGCATCCTTATGGGATTTTTAATTCAGTGTTTTTGCATTCGCTCCCTCTCTCGTGAACACATTAAGATCCGTTACCAACCTTAACGTAGACATTTCCGACGAGGTGGTCGCCCAAGTTGTCGCACACGTTCATCTCCTCCACCTCTCCGTACTTCTCCTCCATCTCTGCGAACACCTCCTGTATCGGAAATGAGAGGGAAAAAATAACAATTAACATGAAACGGGATATTGATAAGGTTTTATTAATACTCATGTGATACCGTTATGTATTATGATACAGTTTACATTTGGATTTATATGACCTTATCCACATATCCAGGGTTGATAAACAAGGTCACAATTAGGCAAATAAAACATTTGTAAATATGAACGACTCATATGTTGACGCCACGTCGCCGTGTGTGGAAAGACGGCGGCACAAAGGGTCACTCACCTCGAAGAACTCGTCGTAGTGCTCCTGCATTTCCACATCGGTGACAGCACCTGCAACATGTCAACAAGGGACGGTCAGGGCAACACCAGAGGGACAGACAGTGTTCACATGGGCCGTGTGGCTTTAAACAAACACGTCTAACTGACGCCTGAGAAGTCTTGCTATAACAGTGACACCCTGTACATAGATCCAGAAAAGTGTGTGTGTTAGTTGTTGCCAGAAGCTACTCTATTTCACAGAAGCAAGGAAACTAGAGCTGATCCCTCTTAGTCTTCTCCACAGTAGCGTTCACTTTGAAATGAGTTGATTTTGAATGATCGTTTTGAACATTGCTGTACGACATGGACTCCGGTAAACATGCAGTACAGCATGTGTCCTGTTACTCTATCTCCAGGAAAAGATGTGATGCGTTCACTGGAGGAACAGGTTCTACGCTGAGCCAGATGTATGTGGGGAGGTGTGACACAGTAAGTTAAGTGCAGTCAGTGCTGGAGGTTCCTGCGGGATGAAGGGAGAACTTACAGTGTAAGCCATCAGCAGACTGGGCAGAGTTTTGAAGGTTATGAAGGTAAATGTTCAAGGGGGAAATGGTCTGAAATACAAAACGTAAACTTCTGTGAAAGAAATCAACCAAAATAAAGAGCTGAGGAGGAAAAAACGTGATTAGAAATGTTTCTGTCAGTAAATGACGGTCTTAAGATGTCGTAATTTACGCTTTACTAACTACTTGATGGATAAAGCTTCATTCAAAACTGCAGAAATGTTTGAAGCCGAAGATAATTGTCTGTACTCCTTACGAGATGCTCTCTCCTTGTCCACTACTTTAAGGGCTTGTTTTCCTTCATTTAGTTTGTATTATTATAGGATATTGGCTGAAAATGGGCTTAAATGTTAGGCTCTTTTATTAAATTCCCATTTAGTGTTGGATTAGTTAAGCATCAACAAGCTGTGATTTCAAAAAGAGTTTTAGTTTCACTTTGGAGTTGGAAAACAAGGAAAACACATGACATACAGTTTATGTAATACGCCCGTCTCTTATCGTGTTTCTCAATTCTGAGGATGAGTAGACTTTATTGACCTCACTTTACTGCTCCGATGAAACCTTGCCAAACAATGTTGGCTGCTCATTCACAATAATGAACCATGTTTCCTGGCTGGTGAAGAAGTCTTTTCTCATCGTGTCCACAAGGCAGTCAGTGACAGGGCTTGGTTAGATGTGATTCAGCCACAGCTGAACACATCGCTGTCCCTTCTCATTAAACTCTGCCAAGTCCGATGTTGTGCAGGGTTGCTCCAGCAGGGGGCATATCAGGAGGTGTTGCAGTGTTCAGATTTGAGTTGTTTGTCTATGTCATTAGCTAAATTCATGGGAGTGAATGACCTAAAGCGCTATCCAAAAACTTGGGAATTGTATACGACCGCATTGTGTTCCAAGTTTAAATGTAAAAAAAAAACTCTTATTGATCTTTAAATGTTCCCAGGTTCGCGTTATATTTAAAAATCTATCCTTACAAAGAGATCATTTCCAATCTAGTCTCTTATCTGATTATAAGGGTGGTGATAAAGGACATTTTACCAGATCAACATATCTGTTGCCAAAGTGTCTCTTGGCCCAGTGATTGCAATGCTTTTACAGGCCCTATTGTGCTTTATTATTATTATTATTATTATTATTATGACCTTTCCTTACATTTACCTGAAGCACAATTTCAATACGGGGCTTCAAGGAAAAATACACACCTCAATTCTAATGCACTCCCCCCTTAAAGAGCCTGTGACACGAGTTTCCCCCATCATCCAAACCCATCAATTTGAGTAAATATTGTACAATGAAAACCGTTACTGAACTGATTTTGGATATTTGTACTTTGATAACCATTAATCTGCCCTTCAATGTTGACCATTTTCTGGATCTTCTCGGGGATTCTTCAAGTCCCGCCAAATTATGGGTGACGTCATTGCGGGACAAGCGCTCCAGCTGCACCGTTCAGGATCCCAGCATCAGTATGTAAACGCACGATGGCGCACACAGCAGCAAGCTNCATTTTTAATCACATTTAAATATTTGACCTGAGAACAGTGAGAAGCAATTTTTTTCTACATGGATTTTAGTTATACCATTGAATAATGACTGAATACATAAGCTTAAAGAGCCTGTGACACGATTTTCCCCCATCATCCAAACCCATCAATTTGAGTAAATATTGTCCCCTTGAAAACCGTTACTGAACTGATTTTGGATATTTGTACTTTGATAACCATTAATCTGCCCTTCAATGTTGACCATTTCCTGGATCTTCTCGGGGAGTTCTTCAAGTCCCGCCAAATTGATGGGTGACGTCATTGCGGGACAAGCGCTCCAGCTGCACCGTTCAGGATCCCAGCATCAGTATGTAAACGCACGATGGCGCACACAGCAGCAAGCTCAGACAGTTTAATTTTGAACGTGTCTGAGAGCTCATATGAAGCTGAAGGATCGGTTTGTGTCGTATCTGTTAGAAGTTTAGGAATTAGTTGCGTCAATATGTGGGCGATCATACGGTCATGTGCCAGTGGTGGACTGGGACTAAAAATCATCCCGGGACTCTCGACCGGCCCACTTCGGTACCGCTAGTAAGTTGTCAACGGGGGGAGTGGGGGATGTGCTAGTGACTTATCCGACCGGCCCCCTTCGGTACCGGCCCCAGTCCGCCACTGCACCCAGCCCAGCCCACGTAACTGTCAACGGGGGGAGCCTCGCTGCGAGGAAACGGTGGACCTAGTGTCCCGATCGGCTTCCCCCAAAACTTCAAAATGATTTGAAGGAATTTCCCCGCGATGTTCGAAATTATTGATATTTATCGGAATGGTATCGCACCTTCTTTTTGAAACTGGCGGTTCGAGATTACTAGTAGCCCAATATTTCATTGCACAACAGTTGTTGGGAGGCTGTCACAGGCTCTTTAACACACTTACCTGTGAGAGAGGTACTGCTTCAGCTCTAAGAGTCTGGGCTCAACATAGTTACAACACACACACTTGTTAGTATTTTCTCATTAACAGCACACTCTGTAATAGTGCTTGTGTTTTGGCAGGAAGGCTTAACTGCACAAGGTTGAAAAGCAGATAGTGGATGTATCAGAAGCGGGGGCTTTTATTGGTATTATTCACAGTGAAATATTTGTTTTTTGGATATTTGGGCAACAATGGGAGCTGACGCAGTGCCTCACATGTGGAGTTATACGTGAGCACCACTGTAAAGGTAACACAAAGGGAGGCTGCTGACAAATGTTCTACTTACAGCGAGAAGAGTCGGCCGTCTGTGTGCTGTTCTGAGGATTACGGTAGATGTTCTGGATCAAGATGGTCTGCAGGACAAGTATTTGGTCAGACAGCAATATTGACATATGAAGCCCCTATAATGGGAGAACAACTTTACGGGCATCCTCACCTGGCTGAAGGTTGGTTTGTTATGCAATCTCGAGCAGCGGTCACCATGTCTGCAAGCGCCAATTTTAAAATAGAAGGAGCAGTTGACCCTGGAAAAGAAGAAAAAGTCAACAACAAAAAAAATCATTTAGTACTCGTTGCCAATTATAATTATAGAACAAACTCGACTTATTTGTGGCCACTGAACAGTTCAACAATATTTCAGTAAATAGCGTATGTGTTGGGGACTATTTTCCGCCGCGGATGTAGTGAGCTACCGAGTATTTATGGTACAAGCGTAACGGTGTGATGTGTTTGTAACAACTTTTTGACCAGCATGGAGTTCAACAGAGATATTAAACTCCATCAGGTTTTAGATAAACATGCAACACTGGTTTCCTCATCAGATTCTCTGTTGGTTTTGGTCTTTTCATTTGTTTACAATGTGAACAATCACAAGACTTATCCTTTAAATATTCTATTAATTAAAGTAAAAGACCTATTACATTTCAACAAAATATTATTTGTGAGTAAGGCTAAGTGACATGAATATTTTATTATCTTAAACACCACATAAGGGATACTTTTTGCTAATGCTATTTTATTTCTGTTGAGATGTTTACATTTTGGAATGTTTATTTCTAGTCTTTTAATTTGTATTGGACAATGCCATGTCTGTTTATGCTGCTGCAAAGCAAACATTTCCCAAATTGGGATACATAAAGGACTTCTTATCTTATCTGATATATTTCTTTGCACCTCCACTAATGTGAATGAGTTAAATAATGCTTTCTTAAGTGTTGTTTAGAAATGTCAGACACTACCCCTTGAACGAAAGGCACCAATACTCACAACAATTGTCACATTATTGCTTTAAATGCATCGTAAACATATCATGATATTAACGTATGTAAATTGCAATAGGTTAATTGTTTTTGCTGCACTGCACCGGTGAAACGAATCAGAACAATCCGCCTAAGCAAAGAGAGCAGCTACTCTGCTAGCAAGTTCAATAATTAACTAAGCGACACATTACCTGGCTAATAAATAAAGCAAAAAAAAATGCTTCCATAATATTAAATCGTATACCAACAAACTCACTGACAAACTCACTAACAACACTTTGCAAAATGACACATTTTACACAAAATGTAATCGAACAGCTGCAGATTATCTGAGGCTCTTCCTGAGTTTCATTCAGGGTTAGCTTCCTGTTGCTAAAGTTAGCTTCACTAAGACATTTAGCAGCCCTGAGTTCAGAAACTGAGCCCTGCTGACGACGAAGAAGAACCACTGCAAAAATACTCTTGTAATAATCATAGTTTAGGGAATTCCTACAGTAAATATTGAATAAAACTTACTTGTCTTTCTCTGTGCCGAAAATGGATGCTAGATACTCCGCCATTTTCGGCTCGTCCAAGACGTAGTGACGTAATCTACGTCATTACGTAAAGGGAAGGCGTAGACGCAGCTACTCGAGAATCCTTGCTGACCCTGAACGCCACATGTCGCCGCTGTTGTACTAGAAAAAATATATTTAATTCCCAACAACGATGATTTTCTTTTCATCTGAAATAAATATGTTTGTTCCTTTACTCCAATCAATTCACTTAATTATTATATTTTTTACAATTATTCAGTCTTTGCTTACTTTACTTAATTATTTTATCTTTTCCCATGAGGTGCAGGTTAAAACAACAGCAGGTGAGCTCCTAAGTATCTAAGTTTAGCTATTGTTGTATTTGGATGTACTTTTACTGTATTTGAGTATGTTCTTTTTTTTCTTCAGTTTATAAAATATGACTGTGTTATGTGAAGCTTTTCAGGGTGTAAACCGAAAATAAAATTGTTTGGACATGAAGATATATGTTTAAATCATGTATAAGTGGTACAATTTTAATACTGGATATCTGTAAGTATGCATGAATAATTCTTCTTTAAAAAAAAAAGAATAAACATTTGGTTGAATAGAAAGGTATTATTTATCAAAGTGGGCTTTAAAACATGAATGAGGCGGACTCATTGACAGGTAAGCCGTCCAGGCCGATGTGTTAGCCTGATAGTAACCACAAACACACACACATCAACAGATTGGACACTAAAAAACAAGGCCACAGCGTCCCCACCTACCCAACACTGCACCGTGCATCCTTATGTCACCTCACCGCTGTGCACAAGGCCGCAGAAGTTTGCAGGAGAGGAAGATGAAAGGAAAGGAGAGGGGGGAGGAAGTCAGCTTGAAGAGGCTGAACCACAGACACTGCAAAGAAGTGATGAAGACTGTCAATGTGCACAGATCGAAATAAGGCTTGGATATGAAAAGAGAGGCTTTACAACCTGTAAAGCTAAAGCTGTACATCAGCACCTGAAAGTGTGGGGATCCCTAACCTGAGATGTTTTTTCTGCACTGGTAGTGAAACATTTAGAGAACTGAGACCACCCACAGATGTTCGCTCCCCTCCAGTGCACCCACCGCCTTGGGAAAGAACCAGAAAAGGTAGTGAGCTGCAGAGAGTAGAAAGAGGAAGCAGCATGTAGCTCCAACCTAAGCTTCAGCACTTCTCTGTTTTAAACTAATAATGAGGTGCTCCGAGGAACGTCTCCAGTTTAGATGAACTGCGACTGGAAGATGACGGGACGTTTTCCCATCATGAGGCCGAACCTCTGCTGCACCATCCTTCATGCGTGCATCTGGGCAGAGCTGCTTCTCACCTTAAACGCTGACGGTAAGTCTTTTTTTCTGCATATTGTGCCGTCTCAGTGTGTGTAACTTCTTACACACCGTACGTCTGTTATGTGTTAAATCTGGCTTTTGGAGTGAAAGTCAGCATTGGGACCACTATTTTAATACTGTGGAGGCCAGAAAAGGTCAGGAACTCTTAAAATGCAACTCCAGAAACAAGTTAGCCCATCTACTACCTTCTTTTAACATGTTACATAATACTTTTGTTACTTGTCTTTGAAACTAAGTCTTGAAGATAATTGTAACTTCTCTGCTTAAAAGGCTTCTTTCAGGTAATTTCCAAATCATGCAGTGTTTTCATGCCTGTGGGAGCTTAATGGAAACAATTAGTTAAAATGTATTTAAAAACATGGCACAAAAGCATATTTTCTAGTTTTACCCACATCTCGTTTCTAGTTTCGAAAGTGTCCCATTTGCCATACTGTATAAGAGTGGTGTCAAATGGCAGTGTGAAAGCTTATTTATTGATACGACCACAGTGTCATTTATTTATGTTAGTCGATGCTGTGGTTTGGTACTGTTTCCTTGTGGTTTGAGGCCAGAGTATTATTCAATAGTGACTTATGATGGTGGCAGTGAGCAACCAACAACTGACAATTGACTGTTATTATCGCAACGCACATAAAGTATAGCATACGTGTGACAGAAGGAGGATTAACTTAACAAAATACAACAAAAAAAACATTGAAACGTCACTTTTTATATTAAAAAATCTGAGTTTTCTACCTCTACGATTATGAATAATGTTGTATCTGGCGTCAAGTTTTCAGAAATGTTACACACTTCACTGATTTAGTAATTTAAGGATCATCTAGGTGAAATTCATACACAAGGGTATACATATCCCAGAGACGGTGTCATTTAGGTGGGATTCAAAATGTTAATTTAAATTTAAAAAATCTATAATCCGTTTTCTGTGTGTTTAATAATTTGCTCTCCAGACTAGACCAAGCGGACTGTTTGTTCTGTTGTTTTTGTAGTTTTTGCATATTGGATGTTCGTATTGCACTACTGTAATATGACACTGTCAACCACAACTGCCATGTCATTGCCGCATTTTGGGGTTATAAATGAAGAAACAAAGTTTAATAGAAAATAAACTGCTTCAACACTGCCCGAAAAGTCAATTGGACTTAAAAAGTCTTGAAAGCCATGATTTACCCAAACAAATCTAAAGTCTTAAACCTCTTTAACTCAGTCTTTAATTAAAAAATATGTTTATGAGTTTTGTTTGATTCCTAACATTTTCAACATCTACATCTGAAACATACAAAAGAGTATACATTAACAACAAGAACTTTTTAAACGCAAATTAATCCTTTCTGTGTTTTTTTGTTATTTTGCAGAGGAATGTCTCATTGAAACTAGAGTACTCTGAAATACATCTTATAAAGCTGTCGTGGGAGAACAACTTGAGATTAAATGTAGAGTTGCAATCTGTGAAGAAGCCCCACCAACGGTCGACTGGATTAAACGTGAGCAAACAGATGTCCCTGTCAACGTCAGCAGCAGTCGCATTCAAACGCAGTGGGAATTTATAAACAAATCGGAAGGGATATCAATTCTGACCTTTCACAAAATACGTCTGAATGACTCTGGTGTGTATCAGTGTCAAAGTGGAGGCAGTAGCAGTCATTACATCAACGTCTTCGTCAATGGTGAGTGGGAATTTTAAAACTTTTAAAACATGTACACAGAACTGACTTACATCTTTGCATTGTGTAGCTCTTATTTCTAAATGATGGAATAATAAATGAACAAATGTTATCTATAAAGTCTGTCATCATATCAGTAAGACTTAGGGTGCGCTCTGTATTGTGTTATAGTTGATGATGGACGTGGGCACACCACTGTTCCACAGAAAAATGAGAGTAAGTCAGAAACATGCTCTTCACATCTTGATTTGAACCTGAATACTGCTTTCTTGTCTGTATTGCTTAGGTTTAAATTCATAAACTCTTTCACATTGAGTGACATTTCCTCTCTTTCTTGCAGGTAGCACACATTCTGAACCCAAAGTGAATTCATGGATGTACATGTACTTGGCTGCTGGGATCGTGCCGTTCATCATCATAGTCATCATCATATCTGTAGTATCGATGCGTGGGTGTGAAGGTAGGAAGTGAATCAAAATCCAATCCAGGACACGTTGTGATTTAATAAACAATGACTAATCCTTCCAAAATGTCTCTTGCAGGGAAATCAAAGAAAGAAACGTCAAGAGAAAACCAGGTACGACACATTTCAAATGTAAGAGGCCATTGTGAAGGTCGAACTCAAGAGACAAGATCAAGGCTAGTCAAAAGCAATGTCAAACATTTGAAAATGCTTATTTGCAGTACATGGCAATCCCCATGGTGGAGCAACCCCTCCATCACGGCCACCTCCAGCCCTCGCCAAGAGGAAGCTCCTCCGCGCCGCCATGCCGGAGATCCCTACGGATAAAACCACCGCCCTTAGAACCCAATGAGCTTCCTTTACCAAGAGACAATGGCCCGGTTTACAGGGTGATAACCAGGGACAGGGAGAGACAAAGAAATACGGCGGAGGAAGAGGGGAGTTCGATTGTGTACGCTGCTCTGAACCATCAACTTCCTGCCAGGGCTGCTCGGCCTCCGAGGCCCACAGAGGAGCAATCAGATTACGCGGCTATCCGTGTTCAAGAATAAACTAAAAGTATTTTCACAGAATCCTTACTCTTCTTCTGACATGGATTTGCTCGGGGTCTTTGAATGTTTTGTGACGTTGCACATCCAACACTTGAATGTACACATGCCGTCGAGTTACATCACATCTGATAACAGTTTCATGAGTTTACAAACTCTACCATATGACTCATTTCATCACTATATGAATGACGATTGACCTCCTGTTATTTTTGTGTTGTACAATCTTTCTTTAGGAACTTGAGAATGTAATTATTATCCTATTTTGTGCAATCAAATGTGTATCTATAACTGTCTGATTTGAATTAAGAACATATGTTATCACTGCTGACAACAAGCTTCTGAGTGTGTGTGCTCATTACATTTCCTCTGGGGTACTGTGGTGTGTGTGTTGGGTAGGTGGGACGATCTAGGTGATTGAAAGCAGGAAGTCAATTAAACAAGGTCATTGACAGTTGCTGCTGTGATAGTACTCTTAAAGATGTGTACAGCAGCTTGTTGAAGCGTTTCCACCATGAGACCTCACTTCTGCCTGACCGTCCTTGTATCCTTACTAGTAGAGCCCCTCTTCACTCAGAATGGTAAGTTTTTGTTATTCAATCTACAGCTAAATACTCAAAAGGGCAGCGTTAAAAACCTATAGAAAAAGAAACAGCATAGAATGCGAATGAGGTTATAATTCGAGAAGGACGGGTAAAATACACGAGCGTCCATTTGAGTGGAGACCAATGAATGGCTGTCAAACTGTAATACAATATAAATTAGATCTGGATTGCTGTAATTTAAGTTCTATCCGTGCAGAATCATTATAGATTGTGTGAGTGGAGGTAGAGGTTGATGGAACATATTAGCCATTCTTCTAATACAAAGATATCAGGCACTAGAAATGACTTAAAATGTGTTTCGGCATTATATTCCTCCTCCTGAAAAAGGGCAGAGCAGCAATGTAATTATGTACTGTAATATCACTATCAAAGACATTCGCTTTGAATTTCGGGCGCATTGAATGGCACTTTCCAAAAAGAAAATGCCCCTCTTTTTGGGGATTTGCAGTCTCAATCCGAGCCATGGCTACAATCTCTGACAGTCAGTAATGTTAACTTAAACATATCTAACATGGAAGGTTAAAAGTAGCACACATCTCAAGGTAAAAAAAAAAGGTGCGATGACTACAAAAACATCACGTCTGAGCCGCTGACCTGATTTTACAGTTAGAGGTCTGCAGCTGCAGCGTGAGAAAAAAACAAATAGGTTATCTGTGATCTAATTATTTTGTTATTGCTAATTCAGTTCTAATGACTACATTAAGGGTAATTGTGTTCATAGCCTTTTAAAACACATGAACAGATAAAGACATCCACATATTGCATGCATCACCGACCCTGCAAACAACAAAACGCAGGGGAATGTATTTTATATTGCATTCTGGGGGTTTATTACAAAATGCAATAGATTATTAGAAAACGCAGGTCTATTTGGTACATAATGAAGTAAAAATGTATTTATTTTGTGTTAGATTATTAGAAAATGCCTTATGCTGATACATAATGTGTTGTTGCAGGCCTTTACTGTTTCCTATAATAATCATATTGAAGATATAAAGTCACCTTTGTTGTGGAAAGTAAACAATGTGAATGCTTTTCAGGTGACGTAATGGAGTCTGCAGAACCGGGTACGAAAACTTTATTTACTCTCTCCTATTCCAAAACAATCATTGTCTTTAACAACTATTCATTTTAAATTATTTTTTATCTTGCAGAGAAGCAAGAATTGAGATCTTGGTATTCCACAATCCGCATTTTTGGGGCAGTGGTGTTTTTAGCCATAATGCTAATTATTAGCTTCACGTCATGTTGGAGGTGTCATGGTAAGAATTATACAGTAAACAAATTTATATTTAAAAATGCCACAAAACATGATTTTTTTCTAATACATATATTTTTTATACAATATAATGATGCGGTTAACAGTAACTAATTTCTTATGATGTAATCTGATTGTGCAGGAGCATCCGAGGACACAACGCATCCGAGCCCTCAGAACTCCCATGATGCCTTTCATGCCACTCACATCTATGATAACGACCAGTAGTCCCAATGTGTGTGCATTTAAAACAATCAAATCTGTAACTTGTAATTGTGTTTTCATGGCCTTGACATTTTTATTTGTTTTACTGTTGACAATATATAATATCTTTCTTCATAGTGATGTGTTTACTGTCAAAAATAAAATATATATTGAATATAGATGTTGCCTTTATTTTGTGCTTTTGGTATTGTGTAAATCCAGCTGTAATAACACAGAAGGGACATTTGTGTCTGTCTGTCTGTCTGTCTGTCTGTCTGTCTGTCTGTCTGTCTGTCTGTGTGCGTGCGTGCGTACGTGCGTGCGTGCGTGCGGCTGTGCTTTTTGAAGTGGAAAGACTGTCGAATGGCAAAAAGGAAACAGAAGTAAAACCACACGGCATAAACATTTGTAAAAGTGAAAGAAAGTGAAAGGTTCTTTAGATTTAATATTAGCTTAAGCCAGTAACGTGTTAAAATAACATGAGTATCGAGCTCATTAGCAAAGTGGAATATTGATCCAAATATTCACAAAGTACACTTGAAGCATTTAAACTATTAATATATGTAGATTTTGCAGTTAAAGTTGTGCACAAGGGTGTAGAAGTTTGCAGGACAGGAAGATGGAAGGAAAGGAGAGGGGGGGGAGGAAGTCAGCTTGAAGAGTGTGAACCACAGACACTGCAAAGAAGTGATGAAGACTCGGTCAATGTGCACAGATCGACACAAGGCTCGGCTATGAAGACAGGGGTCTGAAGTTAAAGTAAAGGATTGTAAAGCTGTACTTCAGCAGCTGAAAGTGTTCCCATCATGAGAGCGAACATCTGCTGGATCATCCTGCATGTGTGCATCTGGGCAGGGCTGCTTCTCACCTTAAACGCTGACGGTAAGTCTTTTTTAGCATATTGACTTATCTCAATGTTTGTGTACCGTGTATAAAGGTACAACCTCTTCAATCTAAACTGAAAAAGTAGGTTAGTAGTAAGTAAATGTATACTGAACGAAAAGGTGGAAGCCAAAGCCTCAGCATTTTACACCTGGATCTTTTACATAAATTATTTGTATTGTAATTGTTATTAAATGTATACAGCTAAAACTTTAATATTGATATGTTTATTCAATATTCCCCAAAAGTCCAACAACATATATTCCTATACAACTACTACTTCTTTTTTTAAAACATTCAGCAAATGCATTCTATGTGTGTATTTTGTTATTTTGCAGATGGATGTCTCATTGAAACTAGAGTACACGTGAACACATCTTATGAAGCTGTCGTGGGAGAGCAATTTAAGATTGAATGTGGAGTTGCATTCTGTGAAGAAGCCCCACCAACGGTCGACTGGATTAAACGTGAGCAAACAGATGTCCCTGTCAACGTCAGAAGCAGCAGTCGCATTCAAACGCAGTGGGAATTTATAGACAAATTAGAAGGGATATCAATTCTGACCTTTCACAAAGTACGTCTAACTGACTCTGGTGTGTATCAGTGTCAAAGTGGAGGCAGTAGCAGTCATAACATCAACGTCTTCGTCAATGGTGAGTGGGAATTTTCAAACTTTTCAAACATTAACAAAGAACTGACTTAGATCTTTACATTGTGTAGCTCTTATTTCTAAATTATTGAATAATAAATGAACAAATGTTATCTATAAAGTCTTTCTTCACACCAGTAAGACTTAGGGTGCGCTCTGTATTGTGTTATAGTTGATGATGGACGTTGGCGGCGTACCACTGTTCCACAGAAAAATGAGAGTAAGTCAGAAACATGCTCTTCACATCTTAATTTGAACCTGAATACTGCTTTCTTGTCTGTATTGCTTATGCTTAAAATGTATACTGAACGAAAAGGTGGAAGCCGATGCCTCAGCATTTTACACCTGGATTCTTTACATGAATTATTTGTATTGTAATTGTGATTAAATGTATACAGCAACAACTTTAATATTTATACATATATGTTTATTAAATATCCCCCAAAAGTCCAAAAACACAAGTGTATATTTTTATAATTATTTCATGTATTCATATAAAACTAACCATTCAGCAAATGGATTCTTTGTGTGTTTTTTGTTATTTTGCAGAGGAATGTCTCATTGAAACTAAAGTACACGAGGATACATCTTATAAAGCTGTCGTTGGAGAATATCTTAAGATTGAATGTGGAGTTGCATTCTGTGAAAAAGCCCAACCAACGGTCGACTGGATTAAACGTGAGAAAACTGATGTCCCTTTCACCGTCAGCAGCCAGAGTCACATTGATACGCAGTGGGATTTTATAGACAAATTAGAAGGGATATCATTTCTGATCTTTCCCAAAGTACGTCTGACTGACTCTGGTGTGTATCAGTGTCAAAGTGGAGAAAGTAACAGTCATTACATCAACGTCTTCGTCAATGGTGAGTGGGAATTTTATTTTGTCCTTTAACACATCTACACAAAAGTGACTCAAGAAATTGGTTTTCACACTGCACACATCGATGAATTAATCACATGCTTAAAACAATAGTATTTATCTGTATTTGTATAATAAATGAACAAATGTTATCTATAAAGTCTTTCTTCACATCAGCAAGACTTAGGGTGCGCTCTGTATTGTGTTATAGTTGATGATGGACGTTGGCGGC